AGGTGGACTGTCAATTTTTTACTGCAAATGAGACGAAATTCCGCCCCCGTTTGATGCGGAGATGTTTCGCGGAGTTGTTGCGATCCGGTTGTGCCGAAGTCAAACTCCGCAAGACACTATCTTCAGCAGTGAAAGAAGAACAAAGCAGGTTGGAGTGCCCGGGTAATTCGAATTCAAGACTACGTCGGCAACTTCGGGTATCGTGGTCCACCCTTGTGGTTGAATCGGCACGACAGGACAACCTTCGTGATGTTGTCACACTTGTGGCAGATCCTTGAGATAGTTCCTCGTCCGATTCTCCAACATACTACGGCGGTATGAGGTTGCAACTCATTCCGATGACGCTTTCTTTCCTAGGGTTGAAAAGACATCGTGCGCGGGCAGGTCAAAGGGATGCAAATCGGGCTGATATGAAGGTTGGCAAAATTGCGTTCCCACCCGCCTCATTTGCAGTTTTATCACCAAAACACACCGTGGAAGCCAATTCGTATTTGAAAAATGCAACTGTCAGATCTCCTCGATGGTGTCTCCTCGAGAGGTTCTCCTCAACAGCCGCGATTAGGGCTACACATGGTGAAATGCCGACTGGAGGAACGAGATGATGGTGGCCGGAGTAGGCTCGGGGAAAGCTGTGAGTGAATGACAGTACCTAACCATACTCTGACATCAAAGAGCATCGAGCCGATGCAAGATTGCGATGACCTACACTTTGCTCATTCATCTCATTGGCTTTAAGCAAATAAAAGAAACGCCACCACACCATACCCACGATAGGATCCAACCCCTGGTCCAAGCCACTCCGATGCACCTCGGAGCTTAGCCCTAACACAGCCAGGTCTTATTCCCTCATCAATCTGTTAGTGTCGCGATTCCCTATCACTCGGTGCCCGAACGGGTTGGGCAAGCTGCCAGCAGCACATGCAGGTCATCACGGATCACCATGCCGCTTGTGGTGATGGTCCTCGCACCGAAAGTAAGACGGACGAACTAGAGGGCGTGACCCCGGCACCGATACCCCGGCCAGCCTTGCCACGCCATACAGCAGTGGTGAAAACGAGCAACTGGGGGCTACCTACATGGCCTGGTGCGGCAGACCTACATGCAAGCTGCCAGGACAATCAATGAGCTTGTCGAGATGTGGTCGCAAGGCTGCCGGCCGAGACCCTGGCCATGTCCAGGGACGGATACACGGCACGATGCAGGCCAGGCCGGGCTTGAGATTTCTATTTATCTCTTGGCTTGCCCGGTCGCGTTGTCGGTAGACGTGCTGTTTGGTTCGGGTTCCTTGAAGACAAATTGGCAGGCATCGATCCCACGACACATTATCATGCGCGGTGTCATACTTACCCTCGGCCTTTGGGCACACGGCGGGTTGTCGATCTTGCCAGATGCCAACCTCTTCAAGGCCGATATTGGAAACCGCGTTGTCCCACTGTCAGGACTGGGCGACTTTGGCCTCCCAGTGATCACCTCGAACATCTCCCTCGACCGACGAGATAAGGACGTCCTGAACGCTCTCGTACCAAGACAGTCATGCAACGTCGGCCGTAAGTGAAGCCCTCCTGCCATGCACCGACTTGACTGACCTTCGGCCCTCAGACCTCTGCCAAAACGGCCTGTGCTGCCAGGACTACGAAAACTGCGTCCCCGGCGGCTGCTGCACCAAGCCAGAGGTGCAATGCGGCTCAGACAAGTGCTACAACCCCGACAAATCAACATGCTGCTCCAGCGGCACCGTCTGCGACAAGGGCTGGGTATGCGTCGAGGGCGGCGGGTGCTGTCAGGAAGAAACACCGCAGCGCTGCGGCGACAAGTGCTACAACCCAAAGACGCACCGATGCTGCACCGAGGGCGGCCGCGTATGGGGTTGTGATGTCAAGAGCAGCTGTTGTCCTGGGGGCTTCTGCCGGACAAGTAGCGAGCAGTGCTGCGCCAACGGGTCGTGCGCGCTTGACACGACATGTTGTGAGACGCAGTGCTGCAAGTCGATGGGCTTCTGCGGGTCGGACGGGGCTTGTGAGGCGTGCCCGGCCGCGACGAGGACGAGGTCTGAGGAGACGACGATGACGGTGACGCGTTATCGTCGCCGGGTGCGTGGAGGGCCTGATACGAGTGCTGCGCCGCCGTTTTTCTGTCTGCCCATCACGGCGACGAATGATGCGGGCGCGACACTGGAGCTGGGTGATGATTGCAAGCTCGAGTACGCGCCGCCTGAGGAGGAGCCGACGAGCACAGAGGGCGTTGAGGCGCGAGGCGTGTCCGCTCCGACTGCTGCGCCGGGGCTGCTGGCGAGACAGGCGAACTGCGTGCCGTGGACGACGGTGACCGAGTACGAGACCAGTACTGTGACGGAAACAACATGGGCAACGACGACGGCCGAGGAGGGGCCTGGCGCGAACGGCCGGCCACAGGGGAATGTCGAATTCAGTTGTCCTGAGATGGAAGTGACGAATGCGTTGGGCGATACGTTGGCAATGGATGAGACGTGCGGGTTGGAGTTTACGGCGGCTGAGGTTACGGGGGCGAGCGGCGGGGGTGGTGATCAGCCTGCTCAGGGAGGAGGAGGTGGCAGCCCGAACACACCGGGTGGTGGTGCGGCTGTGCTATCTGTCGCAATGGCGGCATGGGCGGCGATGGGAGCTGGTGTTCTTTTCGTCTGGTGTTGAGCTGGGATGGCGAGATGGCGAGTAATGAGGATGATGATGGTCGGAGTAGGCTCGGGGAAAGTTTGGGAGCGGTGACAGTCTGCCTGGAATCTGAATCCCTTCAGGCTTATCAGATCTGACTGACGTGAGAAACACATAAGTCACTAACAGGAACACTATTTGCTTTGGTGGGGATACGATACATCGGCATCTCGTGTCCGCGCCAAGCGCCCGGGATATGCCGAGTCAGGGCTGTCCGCTAGGCGATGCTGTAGCGGGGCCGGCAGATGGTCCCGGCTCTGTTTTGTCGCTGATTTCTCACCCGTTACAAATTGCCGTGAGCCCGCGGATCAAATCGTCACTGGTCCCTGGAAGTTTACCGGGGATGATGATGAATCTTCTTGATCTCCCGCGCGGTTATGATGCAGCGCGCCGTCGGTACATAACGCGTCGGCGCCCCCGGCATGCTCTGAGGCTCTGGCTTCACTGCACCTCACATCTCTCCGATTCGACTTCCGATCCTCTCGACAGCATGGCCGATCCAGAGAAGCAGGCCGTCCCCGAGAAGCAGGCCATCCCCGAGAAGATGTCTGTCCCTGAGAAGACGGCCCCGATGGTCCCCGAGAAGGCCACCCCCCGGGACACCTCCCCCGAATCGGCCCCGTCCACCACAGACGCCCCCCTCTGGCCGGCCGAGAAACTCTCCCTCCCGCGCGAGGCCCTCCTCGTCGCCGTCGTCTGCATGGCCCAGTTCTGCACCCAATCCGCCTACATGGGCACCCTCGTCCTCCTCCGCAAGATCGGCGCCGAGTTCGGCGTCGCCGAGCCCTCGCGCCTCGCCTGGCTCATCGGCGGCTATTCCCTTACCGTCGGCACCTTGATTCTCTTCAGCGGCCGCCTTGGTGATATCTTCGGCTACAAGCGTCTTCTTGTCGTTGGTTTCGCTTGGTTCTCGCTTTGGTCCATGGTCGCGGGATTGAGCGCCTACTCGAATTACACTCTCGCCGTCTTCTCGCGCGTGTTGCAGGGTGTTGGACCGGCGATATGTCTGCCCAATGCTCTGGCCATCTTTGGCGTCGCTTACCCGCCGGGACACCGCAAGGCCATGGTCTTTGCGTTCTTCGGCGCCGTCGCACCTATCGGCGGTGTTATTGGCGGCGCTGTCGCTTCCGTCCTCGACCTCGTTTGGTGGCCCTGGGCGCTCTGGGTGATGGCCATGTGGCTCGCCGTCCTCGCCGGCATCGCGACCTTTGCCGTGCCCGAACTTCCCAGCAACGGTCCTCTGCCGACCAGCTGGCGCGGATGGGTCGAAGCCCTGGACCTGCACGGCGCTGCCGTCGGAGTCCTCGCGCTTGTGCTCTTCAACTTCGCTTTCACCCAGAGCCCCATCGCCGGATGGACCAGCCCCGTCATCCTTGTCCCGCTTGTCGCCGGCCTGCTGCTCTTCGTGGCATTCGTCTTCATCGAGTTCCGCATCAGCCCTCGCCCGCTCCTGCCCTTTGACGCCGTCAACGCCGATGTCGGTTTTGTCCTTGCCGCCGTTGCTTGTGGCTGGGCTTCGTTCGGCGTCTGGACTCTCTACCTTGTCCAGATCCTGCAAGACATCCGCGGCCTCTCTCCGCTGCTCACAATCGCCTGGTTCTCCCCCGTCACCGTGTCAGGCGCCATGGCCGCCGTCATCACCGGCAAGCTCCTTGGCCCTTGGGGCGTGCGCCCGGCCGTTGTCATGATGCTGGCCCTCACGTTCTTCACCATCGGCATCGTGCTGACAGCCTCAGCGCCGTCGCACCAGATCTACTGGGCCCAGCTGTTTGTCTCCATGGTCGTCATGCCTTTTGGCATGGATATGTCTTTCCCCGCCGCCACCCTCATTCTCTCCGACGCCGTGGCCAAGGAGCACCAAGGCATCGGTGCTAGCCTCGTCAACACCGTCGTCAACTACGGTATCGCTCTGGGTGTCGGGTTTGCCGGCACCGTTGAGATTCACGTCCATGGCGATAGCGCCGAGACGGGCTACCGCGGCGCCATGTGGATGGGCGTTGGGCTGGCGGGCTTGGGCATGGGAATCTCTGCCGTCTTTCTCGGACGGGATCATCTATTGGAGAGGAAGCGGTAGAGAAATGGTTGATACCCAGTAGTTTCGCATCACCATCATCAATCGAGCATTGTATTTCTGCATGCAACATCGGAAGCCCATGACAAATGCACCTAGGTAGGGAGACACTGAGACCCCTGAAGCCACAGGGCGTTCAGGGCGATGTCCCTCCCAACCTCAGCAGCACCCCTGCAGCCAACTACCGAGCTGACAACTACACGACAGGGTCCGGTGCTCGCAACGGCAAAAAAGGAATCTTGCGACAAGGACGTGATTCGAACACGCGCGGGCGAACCCAATGGCTGATATGCTCAGATAGCAGGCCATCGCCTACATCGGGTTAGTAAGATGATGAGAGGAGAGAGGGTCATGAAGTCCACGAACCTTAACCACTCGGCCACCTTGCCGGCTATGGAGCTCGAGGCCGAATCGAAGGGCTCATACCGCATGGAGGTGGGGGGAATGGGTGCAAGAGGGGGGCCAAGATCATTGCTGCAGGGTAGATTGCCATCGGGCAGACCTGGGTTACCAGCTGCAGTGCTGAAGTTGAAGCTGACCGCACTTTGCACGCCAGTGGAAGTCGAGGCTCATTCGCGGTCCAAAAGGCCGCCCTGGAATGCCTGTTCCACACCAAGCCTCGGTGTGTCCAACTGCTCCCTATGATGCGCCTCGCAGCCCCTCATCCCCATTGCACAGCAAACTTGAAAAGCTGGTTGCCCGCATTGCAGTGTGGAGGCCGAGGGGTTTCGTTCAGCGGACTTTGTAAGCATCGTCACTTTCTTCCAGCCGCTGTGGCCCACGCATGAACTCCGCAGCGCGCTATCACCACATGGCGGCGGAGAAGTTCCAAAGAACGATTGCCGGATTGGGATGACATCTCGCATTCGGGGCGGCAAGGTCCCGGTCCCGGTGAACGAAGGGGATATATTTCAAGTGGCATCTCCTGCCAGAAGTTGCTTTTATGGATTCAACAACGACAGCTTCATTTGAACATATCAGACCTTACACTCAGCTCCTTTTACGCAAATCACCATGCAGATCCTCGTTGTCGGCGGCGCCGGTATGATCGGTGGCCATGCCGCTCTCTTCCTCCAGTCCAAGGGCCACACCGTCACCGTCGGCGGCCGTCACCGCCTCGACTCCGTTCCCCTTCTAGCGGCCCTCCCGTTCCTCGAGGTCGACTACGTCGCCGGCACCATCACCAAGGAACAGCTCGCCGCTTTTGACGCCATCGTCTTCACTGCCGGTGCCGACATGCGACACGTCCCCAAAGGCGAAGACCCGGCTGCTTTCCTCATCCGCGCCAACGGCGAGGCTGTTCCAGCTTTCGCCAAGCTTGCACGCTCCGCTGGCGTCAAGAACTTCGTCCACGTCGGCAGTGCCTATCCTTACATCGTCCCCGATCTGGTCGAGGCCAGCGCGTACCTTCGCTCTCGCAAGCTCGCCGCTGACGGTGTCGCTGCCACCTCTACGACCGACTTCTCTGCCTGCAGTATCGACCCGCCTTTTGTCGTCGGCACCGTGCCGGGGATGATCGTCCCCGTGTTCCAAGCATACATCCAATACGCCGAGGGAAAGTTTGGGCTTCCCGAGTCGGCGCCTGTGGGTGCGTTGAACTTCATCTCGGTACGATCGCTTTCCGAGGCCATCGCCGGCGCTCTGGAGAACGGACCTGCCGTTTCCGGGAGGACGATACTGGTGGGTGATGAGAACTGGTCTTACGCGACGTATCTGGAGAAGTTCTTCAAGGCCGTAAGGAAGACGGATGTGAAGCTCGAGGTGAGGGAAGAGGAGCACCCGATGATGCCGAGATGGTCCTTGTACGCGCAGGACAGGGTTGTATCGTACGAGCCTGACCCGGAAGATGTCAAGAGGCTGGGGAACTACAGGCGGCACGATGTTGACAATGCCATCGAGGAAATTATTGCGGCGTATCACCAGGAGTAGACAGGTAGATTTTGGCCATGAATACACATTCATCCATCGTACAGATTTGCGTGTCATGGCACGTTTTGCCCACCAAGATAGTCCATCATGTCGCCGGACTCAAGGAACCAGCTCCCAAGCTGTGTGCCGAACGGATCGAGCTCCATGCCTCCAAGACTCGACCAGTTCTGAATGGTATCAGGGACGCTAGGAGCCGATGAGAAGTCCTCGCCCGGAAACTGATTTGCGCCGGGCTCAGATCCCATGTAGACACCGGACGTCGGGACCCGCGAGATTGAGCCGCCGTCCATCGGCATGCCGCCCGAGAAGCCCCGACTTGCCATAACCTCGACATACCTCGTCGCCACGGTGTGCAACGCTCGGAATACCTGCAGCTGCCGCGCGCAACCCGCATACTCGGGCTTCTCAGCCAGGAGCGTCATGGCTTTGACGAGCTCCTTGAGGCTCTCCAAGTCACTGAGGTTGCCCGTCTCGACAACGTTGCAGAACACGATGTTGAAGGGGATGAATGGGAGCAGCAGCAAAGCGCCGTTGACCCACATCTTGATCATCGCAGACCGCGGGTCGGCGTCCATCAGCATGCGCAGACACTCGGTGTGGCCGTTCAGAGTGATGCGAGCGGCCTCGGTGCACTCTGTTGATGCCGAGGCGGGCGTGTGCCCTGGTGCTGCTCTGTAGATGGCCGTGAGGACGAGGTGGTCGCCCACTGCGGCGGCGCGAGCTGAGAAGTCGATCATCGCAGCACCAGGCTGTCCTTTCATGTGCATTGATAGAGCAACCTTTGACACGTTAGCTCGGAATCAATCAGTGCTGCATCATGCAGGGAGCTTTTCTCACCCAGTGCTGGGCGTTGCTGACCAGCACGTCACGCCACTCGGCAGCAATTTCGTGGATCCGAGCAAGCCGTACGGTTGGCGGCTGGACGAGGGCTTTAGGACTGTAAATTTCGTCATAGATGAGTCCGTAAAGGCGGGCAGAGTTGACCGAGTCGGGCAGACCGTGGCTGGCAATGGAGCTGGTGATAGAACTTGGTCCTGGCCGGGGAATCATGATGTCGCGGTCTCGGATGATCGAGGAGCGTACCAAGCAGAGGGCGACGCTCCTCTCGAGGACGTACACGGACCAGAAGAGGCTGGTCTTGCGGTTGCGGTCTTCGGGTGGATCGGTTGCTGGAGGCGGGAGATGCAGTCCAAGGGCCTGAGCGAGAAGGGCTGCTTTGGATATGAAGCCCCAAGCCGCAAAGATCTTTCCCCTTTGGAAGCAGTAGAGGGTCTGAGAAGCATGAAAGTTAGATCCGGGAAGAAACAGGGAGAAAAGATGGGTACTAACGGCGAGGTACATGGCTAAGACGTAGTCGAATGTCGTTGGGATGTGGAAGCCGAGGTTAGAGAGCATCGCCTCGAGACCATTCTGGCACAACTGCGCCTGCTCATAAAGATCCTCTCTGCTGGCTTTGGAGGCAGCTACGGCCGCACACTCTGCGAAGAGGGAGTAGAGACCCATGAAGGCGATGATGAGCTCCGCATTCGTCGCTGGTCCGGGAGAGCAGACCTTGATCAGGTAGAGGGTGAAATCGCCGTACATCTTCAGCTGACTCCAGCAGGACAAGGGGCTCGAGGCGTGGTCTTGAGAGTGGTCAGTCGGACTAGTCAGGGGTCGGGGGCATGTGTGCTGCGCACCTTGGGCCATCCGTAGGCAGGCCATGACCTTGTCTATCGGAGGCACAGGCAGGTCTCTGGTGGTCGCGCCGGGTGGCAGAAGCGCGACGAATGGAATGCCTTCTTCCTCGGGACTGCTTCGACGTTTTTGAGACTTGACGACGGCTTGGAGAGTCTCCAGGGCTGCCTTCAACGCTTTGGACGTCTCGGGGGTGTTCTCTTCGCCGGACAGCCTGACGGCCTCTTCCAGGAACGTCGTGGCCACAACTGCCTGCGAGAGGAGCGAGCTCTCCATGGCCTGGTTCTCTGAGGCAAGTGACTTGGAGGATTGAGTCTTCTCTTCGGGCGTCTGGTACGTCTGTTCGCGATTGCTGCTGGGAGTCAATGGCGACTTCCCCATACTCATGCCCTCCATGAGTCGGGCGAGGTCGTCTATCTTTTGCGAAATGTGCTCGATCCTGCTTTCACTTTTGGAGAAAATGTCAGCTGCTAGCTTCCGGGGACAAGAGGGATAAGAACGTACTACAAACTCGATACCAGGACCCTCTGTCGCTTTGCACGTTTCTGCACCACCGGGTAGGAGCATTGTGACCTGGCGCGGATGCATTGGGTGCATGGATGCACGCGGTCGCATTTGATCTGGGCAGTCAGCGGCGACCAAAATCATCAATTCTGAGGGGAAGTGTCGTCCACATACCTTGCGTCGGCGACACCTATCACACTTGGGGAATGCTGTCAGCAAGTTCAGGCACGAGGCAAATGCAGGGCTTGACATACGGCGACCTTCTCAGGAACTGCATTTCCATCCAGTATGCCGGTCTTGTCCTCGTTGTCGCTGCAGGCATCATCTTCCAGCGTAGTACCTTCGTCATCGGGAGTGGTTTCGGCCCCGGAGAGGCTCATGTGCGTCTCCGGGACGGCAGTCGGATTGTCTGGCGGTTCGGGCTTGCGGGTCATCGCGACGGCTCCGGGGTCTTCGTGCCGCTGAGAGCTACAGGTAGCTGCAGCGCAGGAGATATTGCGCGGCGGAGCGGACAGAAATGTCTCTCCCGTCCGTGGGCACTGATGTTGTACAAGAGGAGAATTGGGAGCGGGACGGCGACTCGAGGCGTCCGCTCCTTGGGTTGACGTCGGCCGCTTCTTGGCGCGGCGTGCGGACTGCTGGAGTTCCGCACGCCGCTTGAGCACGCCCCTTTCTGCGTGCGCGAGTCACGCTGCGGGACGGCAGCGAAACCACGTCCGCCCCGTCTACACATCCCGCCGCGTGGAGGAGCATCGGGGTCTTGACATTCGCCTTTGCCTTCTTTGCCGTATTTCCAAGACGAAGAATCTGACGTCGGGTGTACTTCTCTCCAATGATCAAAACCTTTCTAATTTTATTCTTGCATGAGCCGCTACTTCGCCAGGACCTCTCGCTTTACCATCGACTTGGGCATTACTTGCCAGTTATTTCCGTTTGATCATTTGACCCAATCCGCCAGCAACTTTCAACTTCCTTCCCTTTGCCCAACTCACTTGACCTGGCCTGCCCGGTGGAAAGCAGCAGCCGACAGAATCGAAGCCACACTCCTTTGTCATTCCCTATCCACGCGATAATTTTCTTCTCCCAAACTCCTACTTCGCCTCTCTCCGATCAGACCGCCACCACCACCATGACAGCCCAAGAGAAGCAGCAAGAAGAGGGCAACTCTGCTGTGGCAGATGCCCCCCCTTCCATTCCGCCCAAGGAGCCATCTGCTTTCAAGGGATTTTTCGTACGTTCTCCTTAGACGTGACTGCAAGGTCAGAAACTGACACGTCGA